ATCCTACATTCTGGCGGACAGAAAACAGAATGATGTGTCTCGCAATTGCCAGATACCTCTCAACCTTATTACAAAACTGATTGCCACGGGACTTGTCTTGAATCGTTTGAGATGGGAATGGCTGAAGAGGAGAAAATCTGGAAATCAAGTCTAAGGGGCATCAGTTTTCATCTGCAAAAATTTCAATTATCATATTCCTACACAAACTAATCAAACTGCTCTCCAGAACAAAATTCTCTGATTTTACCTAGGTATTTCCACACCATTTACTTTTTCTTTTTTTAAACCAAATGAGAAATGACTAACCAAACCAAACGAAACCAGTCTAGAAAAGTAGAGAGCAGGAGGAGATTGCTTTCTTGGAAACAGCAGCCCAGACCCCCGAGACCTCCCATTACATCTCCCTGGGGCACAGCTAGAGGAGCCAGCACCATTGGCTGCCATAGTTCAAATACACTTTTGACTTTACATTCTATTTTAATTTTTATTTCATTTTTCTTTTTTTTTTTTTATTTCAACTTTTTCTGCAATATCCTGGAGCCTCACTGTTTCCAGGCACCGTTAGCTTTCCACATCACATTTGGTCTGCATTTAACCTTTTCCTTCTGCAACACCACATACAAGGATTTCAAGATTTTTCAGTCTTATCAAACACCTACTCACCATTTGTAGATGTGACCCTACGGCCATTCAAGTCATCAGCAAAGCCCCCACAGATTTTACTGAGTCAGGACACCAGGCACTTGGTGGCCTTCCCACACTCCAGTCCACGAGAAACATGACCACTGACATCGTTTTTGAAGGACAGGGAGGAATAATGTGCCTTTCAGGTGGCTAAGAAAAACAGATTTGCTCTATCTAATATGACCAAATAAAATAAAAACAACAACAACAAACTCCAATACACACGTTCTCCATCCACATTCATCAAAGTCAAGAATTTTTAGAGTGCAGGTAGGACTGGGGAAGGAGAGACACAACTCTCTGCTCCCTCCTTTTCTGCTTACAACATCGCTCTGACGCCTCACTTCCAGAAAGTTACTTCAGCAGCAACTTACCTCTTACACAAATTGCACGACCTGTTTACACAGCTCCAAACCAGGATAATGGCAGAAACCATCTTTTAGAGATCAGAAACAACTGTTGTCGATCATATGAGCTGTAAACGAGCCCAAACAAAAAATGAGAATGACACTGGTATTCAATGTCACCTCCCGCAGCATCAAGACACAGTTTTGTAATATCATTTTATTCAAATGACTACATCATACTGAAATTCAATTGGGTTTCTGATTTTAATGGATATTAACAAATATGTTAAATGTCAAGTCCAGAGGCATTAAGAGCAGAAAATTCATGTCCTACACTAGGAGGGACTATGGCTACAGTGGGCTCTCGAGCCAAAGGAAATGTCTTACGGCTAGAAAACAGAAACATTTCCAGCCCACTGACCCCCAGGATGGTTGATTTTGATAACGTCTGGTCCGGGCAGGGATGCTGTGCTCTGAGCGGGCATTTAGCCTTAGTACAGAGGCACTGAGTCCTCAGCCTAAAAGCAGGGGTATTTACAAACACTTGAGTATGAACTTCTGAGGGTAAGAAAAAGTTGTGTGTCTCTGGCTTTTTTTTTTTTTTTTTTTGATTGTTCACTGGTGGTCAGAGCCTTGCCTGTATTTTCATTTTGCATTACATTGTAACATGCAACCATAGCTCCCCAGAAGATCACAGACCACTTACTGTAGAGAAAAATAGTTCCTCAACCTTAAATATAGGGTATTTTATGTTTCTTCTCTTCCATAAAATTATTTCATTGTTAAAAGTTTCTACGATCAGCATGGTGCCAAACTAATAGCCAACAGCGAAAATGATTACAGAAGCTTCTCCTGTCACAGAGCCAAGGGACCAGTGCATCCCACCCTCATCTGCTTATCCCCAGGTCCAAAGACCCAGCGGGATTCTTCACAGCGTCCAACACAGGGAAGGGCTACAAAAGGTTTTGAATTCCCCAAATATCCTGTACTCTATTGTAGCCCTACTTCTGACCTTCTTTCACAAAATGTAGAATAAATTGTATTAAAATGAGCTTATAAAATTACCACCTCATTCTGCATACTTTGAGTTCTCCTAAGTCCATGGAACCTGGCAATTTGCTTCAAGGAAGCTCCAAGAAATTCCCTCTGCAAGGCTGGAAAAACACCGGAGCCTGGATCCTCGCCTGGCCAGCGCCCACTACCATACCTCCCCAACAGCCCACCTCGTTTCACTAACTTGCTATTTCTTAACTAAGTTTACTAATTAGGCTGGCAGAAAGTAACACAGCCAAACTGTAAGGCTGCAAAACTAATCATATTAAAAGGCCTCCTTAAAAGTAAATATTCAGTTATAAGATTATTGATTGAACAAACCACTGTGATTAGAAACACAGTGCTGCACAAGGTAGTATAATACCGATCTCCAGTATAATCAATTAACAGTGTATAACTAAGTACACAATGTTCAGCCTTACAGGCACCAATATACATGCAGATTTAAGTTGGAAATAATTTAATCCTTTGTTCCCTAAGTTCATTCCTATTACGTGAACATTGCCTGCATAAACTTTAGACAAGGAGAACATGGAAATTTCATTAATTACCATGTTACTTTATAAATCACACATGGATCGAGAAAAATGCAGCCCCCAGGGTCCACAGATTATGCTATCTCCAAGATGTATTTCTCTTTGAAAACAATAAGTCATCTTTAATAAAGGCTAACGCACAGATGTTTTTAACTGAGAGGCCGACAGGGTGATAAAGCATGCTCCACACTTGGGATTACCTGTACATTAGATTACGCTTTCTTGATGCTTTCCCAGCCATTAACTTACATGGCAATAGAGACATTTATTTTTGACAGCAGAGAGCTGCCTTTGGCCAACTGACCATTTTTGCTGTAAGTTAAGTTGAATCCAGCTTCAGCACCCTGCCCGACATGTTTCGGCAGCAGAGCAGGGGCAGCCCCAACGCGCGCAGAGTGCGCGCTGGGTTTAAAGCTTCTGCACATGCTTCTCCCCCCTTTTCACTCACACCTATCAACACCCGGCTCCTTCATTAGCACTCACAGAAACCCTCACCCCTTTTTTATCAGGTAGCTATGGCTGTACCTTCCTGGACCCAGCCAGAGGATGCCAGCCCAGCTGCAGAGCCATCCCTGCCCCAAGGGCACACGAACACTCCTTCCCACCCACCCACACCGCATCCAGCCAGGGAAGCTGTTCATCAAGCTGGGGTTGACAAAGGTAATCTAAACCCAGCACCTTCGAGTCCTCTTCTCTGCCAGCGCAATAAAAAGGAATTTCATAAAAATGTTTTATGTAAGCCTTTGCAAAGGCACTAGCCTTCTCTCCAGAGATGGTGATTAATAGAGAAAAACGGTTAGCTGAATCTCAAGTTTATTGTACATGAACTGGGCATTTTCAAGCTTTCTTTTCTGAAAAGCTACTATATATTCTGTAGGAGAAAACACCCAGAAGTGTGTGGTTTACTGTGAATGATTGATAATAGGATGATTGCTCAGGCACTCAAAGCATGATATTTGATAGCCTATCGTACCCTCATTCAAAAGGAAAGCAACAATTATCATGGCCTGACATGTTTATCATTGCAGAGCTGAGCCAGTTATCAAAGTGGTAGATCTTCCCGGCATTATAATATTCGATCATGTCTAACACACTTCATGCGGAGCTCACCGCCGCAGCCGTAAATCAAAAGTCCTGCACCAGCTCCTTCCCAGATCACCCAAGCATCTCAATTCAGGGAAGAACACATCTGGCACGTAATTCTGGTTTGCAGCACAGATAAAGAATGATTTTTTTCCCCATTTGGATTCCCCTCTGAGATGCTCACTTACAAACAGGAAAAATGGTTTCTGTGGGTCAAATAATACTCCATGGGAAGCACCACCAACTCCCTGCCCTATAGCAGCGATTAACTCTAATTTCTGTTCTTATTTCAGTGCCGTCCTTCCTTGACAAAGTCTGAAAAACTTGTACCTTTATTCCTATGGGTCAGTTTGCTCTTCAGACTCCCTAAACACAAAACCACTACCATACACCTGGCAGGCATTTATCTGGGTGATTCTAATGACTGCTCAACAGGAACAATAATTACTGAGATACATTTCTCATAAAAAGATTTCATCTGAACACCAGAAATCGTAACTGCATACCTTCTGTGAAATTCAATCTCACTGTGTCTTGCTGTGTTACACTTCAAGTCCCAAAAAGATGGAAAATACACTCTAATTTAAATTTTTAACTTAATTGGTACATAACATTTCTAAAATATAGCCTTAAGCATTCAAAGAACAGTTTCAAAAATTATCCTAAAGATTTTAAATCAGTCAGACTTCCATAGGGAGTCAGGGATGCCATAGTACTTCCCCAGCTGCCATATTCAGAAAGTTGTTACACAGAGCTATGCAAAGAAAACAGCATTTTTTCCAGCAAGCAACTACATCCAAACCTATCAGAAAAAAAATACAAAACCATGGCTACATTATTCCAGCATATTTTATATTATAAAAACCCAAACAATCTACTTAAGTCTTAATCAAATATTACCGTGTGTTGAGCAGATACCTTTCAACTGCCAACACTGCAACCTGAGGATCTGCTGCAAAGACTTGGTGCCACTATGACCACGTTTTCTTACAGAAGTCACTATGATGACAGAGGATGCAGCTCAGTTCACCTACTGCCTGCAAACGTCACAGCGTGCATAAACTTTGCAAATGTAGATAGAGTTTTGAACTCACTTTTAACACACAGTTTCAGAGAACACTTCTAAGCAGCACCAGAAAAAATAACTTTAATTCTGGATTACAGTAATGCCACCTATATCCCCTGAATATTTAATTTACCAAAGCACACCAACAGCAAAACTCATCCTCAGAAGTCTCTCTCTGTTGTAAAGTAAACATAAAAAGCTGCTCATTAGTGCCACCAGGAGTGACCTTACCTGGAAAAGGCGAAGCCAAGACTGGAATTTTGATAGGGGAGAAGGTCAGCACGTGGCAGGGCTGGACGCTCGGCGCCGAAGGCCCCTGGGGGGCTTCAGGCTCCACCGACACCATCGCGGTGGTGGCCGCAGTGGCCAACGCCAGGGTCTGATTGCCGCCGACCGGTTTAAGGCTATTCTGGCAACCACCTGTGGAAGAGTGAGATACAACAGATTTTATTTTTAATTGGAAAACAGTGGATTTACCTAAGATTATATGTTTTCAGCATTCTGAATTTCAATGCAAGATGGAACAAAAGACTGCAACATTTCCCACCCAGCCTCCACTGTTTGCATGTCCCCCTTAGCGAGACACTGGATTTTGAATTATGTAATATATTTTCTAAGGACTCTCAAAGCCCCTTTCCTAATCATTATCCTTAGAGTCCTAGCTTGTGGTTGGTACATTTTTAAATATTAAAACCCCATATATGTGAACATATCATTACAACCTAGAGGGACAAGACAGTAGTGAGTCATATATAAACTGTGCAGAGTTATTAAATTTAAATTAAAAACCTCAATAAAAAAGTCAAATATTTGAACACATGAGTCGGTATTTTCTTCAGCTCCCACAACTTCATAACAGCGCATGACCACCCTTATTCTGACTTTTCCTAAATGTGAGTTGTCTCATCTGAAATCTGAATATTTTTGTTACTTGTTCTATTAGTCATCCAATGTTACTGTTATATGTCCAGCTTTTCTCCTGTAATGTGCACGCAAATACCTGAGTTTTAGAAGTTTTACATACTAGTATCCTTCATCCTGAAAACACACCATGCAGGAAACTTTGAATGGTTTCACATGGGAACTCAGAAGAAGTCCCCCAAATCAAGGCTCAAACGCACTTTAGACTATGTAACATTTACCTTTAAGTCTAACAAGCTTGGGGGGGAAGACCTTCAGAGCTCAATCTTGGATAAATATGTTAAACAAACAAGAAAATGAGTAGTAAAAATCTTAAGGAGAAAACCTAATTTGACAAACACCAGCTGTTACTCCCTCTACACTGAGCTATGTATTCAAAAATTAAGCAATCATTAGCTTATTATGTCATTTAGCAAATGTTTTCAGTTCATGTGGAAATCCTTCAGGCAATAAGAGCCAACTGTAGCTCTGCAAAAAAATCACTATTTGATCAGACTTCTCACTTCAGGCGTTCTGTGAGTTTGTAGGAGTTCTTTTTCTATGCGCATCTCTGCAAGGAAAACAGGGAATCAGCCTATGACCATGGGAAGCGTGACCACTGGGGTATTGGGGTGGGTGATGCAGCCCCTCTGCAGCACCACTGCTCTGGGTAAGACAACTGCAGCTGAGCAAGCCCGGTTAAGATCATATTCCCCTACACAGCTACATAGCCCAGACACCTCATCCAGGCTCTTCCATCCTGCTCTGGCTTCAGACACCTGAAAAGTTTTGACTTTCAGACACCATGTGCTGTTTTCCTGAGACGAAGTGGCGGGTAAAGAGTGTATCAGTGGTTTTTGGAAAGGAACCTGCTTTAGTTGCAGCTAACTGGGGCTCCTGAGGCTATCTATTATACTAACTTTTGCTCCTAACTCTTTATAAACAATTATTCGCCAACAAAATAAGCTCTCTGCATTAGCAAAACGGAAGTCAAATGTATTCAGTAAGCATCACAAAAAACCCTTCTATTATTTCCACTGCATTTGTCAATTCCAAGAAGAATTCATTTAACACACCTGCATATGCACTAATTAACATGCACGTAGGCAAAAAACCACAAATACTAAAATTCTGACAATTCAACCATGGACGGATGAAAAAGAGATTATTCTGCCAGAGTCACAATGGATATTTAAAAAAAAAAAAAAAAAAATCAGTGTCCAACTAATCCAACTGTTTAATATAAGTTTATTGTTTATTCACCTGAGGACTAGAACAGACTGTTAGGTTAAATACCTGGCCTCCAAGAGCCTGCACTCATTCCTAATTCCACCTGTTGGCAGTTGGGAAAAATCCACAAAAATCTTCTGTAACTCTTACGAAAACTAATGTTGTCTAGAAAAATGACTTTTCTCCTGGTTTCCTACAGGGTACAGGAGCAGAAGGGTTATTTACTTCTCATTTGATTCTTTTTATATTTTGGAGAAGATGATGCAATTTCCCCAAAGAGCCCAGGAAAGCAGCAAAATAATGTAAGCCTTAGTTGCTTGGCCAAAGTCTTCCACCAGCACAGATGAGTAACACTCCTGAAGCAGGGCTTCCTTGTTAAAGTTTCATCAATCCCCTTATTAAAGTTTCATCAGTCAGTTAAAAGAGAAGTTTTCGTGATTTCCCCGCCTTTGATGAAGTTCTCTCTCCCTCTCTCCTGCTAAATAATTCCATGAAGAAAGGACTACCTCTATAATTGTTAATACTTGAGGGGAGAGCACCGACAGGGTGTCTGGGGGTCATCAAGCCCACTCTCTTGCTTTGCACTCAACTGAACAATCGTCTCAGCAATTTATCAACCTCTAACTTAACATGATTTGCCAAAGCAACTGGAAGCTGGCCCAGGACATGACTTGTTGAGAGCTAGGGACTTTCATCTGCACTCAGTGTAGCTGGAAAAAAGAAGTTCTTCTCAGAAACAAACCAGATTTTGCTGTAAGTATTTCCAAAAACTTCTTGAAAGGGTTTTTTAGAATCATCATTCATCACCCCACATTTACATGAATTTCAAGAGTCAAATGCCTTGAAAATAGTAGTAAAATACTATCATCGATATACCCTTGAGGGAAAAAAAACCTGCAAATTTTTTCCTAGCAATGGTGGTTTCGCCAAATCGGTTTTTGCCAAGTCACGTTACATCCTGGGTAGTAAGGTAACACTTGTCTGCTGACATAACAAACCCCATTTCAATGTCCTTCCCCAGTCTTCCAGCTCTGTTCTTCTCAGGCAAACAGATTAGGGGGAAACATCCAAGATGGGTAGCACGTTTTGACGTGAAGCAACTGAAGAGCAGAGAGCAGTTGAAGAAGCAATAAAGAGTTTATTCAGAGATAAGTAACCGACAGTGGTGAAACGCAGTAAAGGCACTGGAACCAGGAGGCAAAGCCATCACAACAGATGACATGCGATCGCCAAATATCCACCTGCTAACATCCATGTGGAAAAGTGTCTACACACACAGGTGTAGAAGAGGAGCTGTTTCTGTTGTGCCTTCTCTTCTAGCACAGCATCATCTACATGAGTTTGTGAATTGTACCCGATTTCCTGATCCAGAAGACCCATTTTCATGTGGCAGACCTGTTCCTGCTGGCTACATAACTGAGCTGCCAGGTACCATTCCTGGGGTAGCACAAACCAGCCTGGGCCACACTGTCACATCTGGCCAGCACACGGCTTGATAGAACAGCACAACCTCCACCACCCAAAGCCAGCATTTCCTTCCCGGGGTTTTCAGAACACCGAGAGCAGGCTGTGAGCCTTCCCCACACAGGTACGCAAACTAGACAGACAGAAAGACATGATGGTCCTATGGCACATGCTAAATCACACAGCATGATGCACTGCCCACAAGTAGTCTCCATCACCTGCCAGGGAGGAAGGTGACACTTGGCGATATAAAGGCCGACCCCACCAGACGTATCACATCCAGACAGAGTGTGCTCAGCATCCTTTCCAAAATCCACCAAAAAATCCTCCACTCCCCCCAGTCTGTACCAGTGCCCTCTCTACACTCACATACGGTCTCTGCAACCAGAGCACACCAAAACTGCTTTTTGGCTACTGACATTGTCTAACACATTAAAAATTGAAACCACAAGATTTTCCTCCTTGAAGAACAAACACCCAAAAGAATAGAAATTACTTTATTTAACAAGACAAAAGTAAAGACTGTTAACACTCGTGAGATGTGAAGATCTACTCTTACCCAAAAAGGGTAATCCAAGACCTTCCCTTTCAGATAAAAAGTATTGGTATTGTGAAAACTTACTGTACAGACAATGTAATGGGTTTTAAATCGCACTTGATTATTACGGTCTTTCAGTCTTTGTCTTCAGTTTTGCCTACAGGAAAACACCTTTACCAACGGGTTATGAATATCTTTCCCAAAAGACCCACATTAAAAAAAATGAGAGGAAAAAATTTCAAGCAGGTTAAAGACCTTTTGAACTTTTCATCTGTGTATAATGTTCCTTGTAACTTTTTTAATGATCTAACAAATCGCTGGGTTTTGCTTATCCTTTCAGCCCATGAGCTACTGCAAGTGCCCAAAGATCCTGTAAGAGCTCTTCTACATTAGGCGGTCCTCCTTCGGGTGAGGACCAAAGGACACCAACACAGATGCTGACCTGGCTGCCTCTTCTTTTTTGCCTGGAATAGCCCAAAGACACAATTGTAACACAAATGGATTTCCACTGCAATGTGCTGATCTGTCTCTACCCAGGTAAATGCACACCAAGCATATGGAACCACACAGCACTTGATTTCTATCAAAGCTTTCCAACCACCAAACCTCCTGTTTCAGTGCTGTTTCCCATGCTAATCTGTGGTAGTTTAGCATGGGAAAAGGACACCAGAACTCAACGCTACTAGGAAAAAAAATCACACCGAGTACTGAGTAGCTTCCTAAAGGATCTGAAATATTTTCCATGTATATTTAAAATAAGAAATATTTTGAAGGGTTTCAATTTAAATGTGTATGTTATGAAAGTCATATAAAATTAAACACCAATTCAATTAAATAGAAGTTAAATACTTTGACCCTGGAGTTAATAGAAGTTAGTAATGCTGAGGTCCTAAACCTCACCCATAGAAGGATGTATACCATTCTCACTTCTTTTTAAAGCAATGTGCAAGCTCCTTATTTTTAGTCATAAACCAATTGATCACTAACACCCGATTGTCTGTAACCCTGTTCCTTTTGGGTTTCCCTGCTGCCCGCCCTGGCCTCAGGGACAGCACTGCTCTTCAGGCACCCACACTGCTGCCCAGCCCCTCTGTTACGGAGTTTTTGCTGCATCCAAGCACTGCACAGTCCCAGCTGCTATTTAAAAAATTTAAGTGTCCATCATTTTTTATTAGAAAGCCATTTCAGAAATGTTCACTGAATCTCAGCTATGCTGCCCACATCAGCTACAGCCTGGAACGGAGGGTTTGTGGGATAACACAGCCACAGCCAGCCGACCCCTCCAGTC